TAATGGTGTATGTTCCCGTCAAGGTTTGGAGGGGCCGGGGTGTCGGTGACCGAACGGTCTAGGTCGTTGCGCCCCGTGATCGTTGTAGCCTATCACCTCCTAGGTTTTGAGTTCGAAACCCGTTCAGAGAAGATAATAATTTTTAGGGATTTTCTTTCCTTGTGGTCGAAATTTTGCAATTACTTGATAGAGGTTGGAGGTTCTATGCAGATGTTCTAGGGTATTCCTCTGCAACTTAAACTGGCATATCCGTATATGACCTGCAATGTGTTGATCGGACAATCAACCAATTAATTATCCTGGTCACGATATGGCAAGATATATTTAACTTTATCTTGAACATCCTAGGAAAGAAATGAAGTCAGTATACTGGAAATATTTATGGGAGAAGGACTTCGAAATGACAAACTGTTAGCATAGCATATGGCGTGCGTTGCATAGCTTTGGGTATTACGATCCGGCAGAACATCGAACCCCACGATTGCTTATTATTACATTAATGGTAGGAGAAGCAATGCAGTCCCTACTGTAATGAAATAATTATTACATTAACGGTAGAGACTGCATTGCTTCCCCTGCTGCTAATGTAATAATTATTACATGAACGGTAGGGACTGCATTGCTACCCTTACTATTTGTAATAATAAACATTGTTGACACCAGTATTAATTTTGGTGTAGTGTATGTGCAAATTTCAGAAATAAATTCCTCGCCAGCATTGCCCGAGATCAAATATTTGGAAAGCCAAACAGTGAATAGTAAACATGTAAGCATGAGAAGAAAAAGGCCTGAAAATTGAGCCGAAAACGAGCTTTGAGATACTCCTTAGTTTTGGACTATTTGAACAAGTTGGATAACGGTTAATGACAGATTTGTGTGTAGTATCAATTTCGAGTCAGTAGAAAATTATTACATTAACGGCAGAACATGTGTTGCTTACTGCTACCACAAATGTACTACTTATTTTGTGTTTAATTGTGCTTTCATGGAGTTATGCCCTTTTATGGATTAAGGGAAATGTAGTCAAAAGTTTGTGCAGTCATGCAATCGCTTACTATTCAATAAAGATTGGTAGACCTTTAAGCGGTCATCGCCATGTGTAGTTTTGCATCTGCATTTAGTATACATTTAAGAAGTCAGGTGATACAGTCTTACGGTCATACTAATTGCTTTGTTCAAAATCTGCGTGCTTCGATAACTGAAGAAGAAATTGGTTTAGTGGCTTCATATTAATCAGTATGTAAGTCATTGCCATCGTCAAAAACTGTATGCTTTTTCAAGGTCATCAGGTCAAAATCAAAGTCAAGGTTACAACTTAGAAATTGTCCGTATTTTTTCTTCCTTCAATATATTGATATAGCAACTGACTTTTGTATCGCAACATTCGCCCTTAGTATACTTTAAAATAAACAAGAGTCCCAAGGGACTTTAATGCGCTCACCTGGAACACGTTCTCTGAAGACGTTTAACTTCCATCTGATTCCTTTGTGACCTTTGCCCTTCGACATTGTCACATCGAAACTTCGGGAGAGATATTATTATGTTATCGAAACATCTTTGTAATATATATTTCTACACAATTTTTTGTTCAAAAGAATAAGCATTTCACTCGTCTAGTATGTCTGTGACCTTCGACCTTGTAGCTTTATTGTCGTGACTGTCAAATTATTCTTGGCAACTTTCTAGTAATATATATATACAAAATGGCTACAGAATTTTATGTTTTGAACTGTCCCTGACCTTGACATTTGACCTTGTGAACTTGAAACTCTGGGCTGGTACAATTGATCAATGCTAGTGTAGCGTTATGTATGATGTAGGGCTGGAACAATTAATCAATGTGTTTGTACTGTGATACTCACTTACAGACATTCACCATATAACGATGAAGTTCTTGTTGCCTTAAAAGCATATGGATGTTGTGCTGGCACATGCCTCTAATTTTAAAATCACATCTATCTTGTTGATCATGAATGGTTTGTGTAAAATTTGTTTTATTTAGCCAGATTACATCGTATCTTCAACTGTGAACTGTGAGGAGACTAGGTTTCCATGAACACAATATTGCGATGTTATGCTATGCATTGTTGAGCATTTAAAAAATGATAAGATTATATGCATTTTGATCACGTGTAAATTCTTTTTCTTAATCTAAAAGGTACAGCCAAAACATGTGACCTTCCAGAAAAAGCGAATATTTTTCAAACACAGTATGCTGGTAAGAAATATTGAGATGCATTTTGACTACAAAAGAAGCACCATATCAAAGGAGCAACACAAAGCAAAAACCCTTTGATTCCGTGACCTTGAAAGTTGGACCAAAAAAGGGTGGTGTTGTATTGTCGATTAACGTGCGCGCAACAGCTTAAGTCATTTGCAGATAATATTATAGGTACATGGCATGTATGGCAGACTCAATACATGTACCCAACCCACTACCCACACCGTTATACTGACTCCAGGCCGTTCAGTTCCTTGCTCCATGCAGTATTAATTTTTTAAGGGGGGAAGCTTCAAGTGCCATTTTAAACGTCTTTGATATGTCACGGCTGACGGGGATCATCATAATGTGTATGCATACAAAAAATGAGGTAACTGGCATTTTAGCCTCTTCTGTTCGTGCATCCGACTGTCCGAATGGACAGACGGCTGGACGAACAGACGGACAGGGTGATTCCTATAGGGCTTCCGCATCTCGATGTGAGGCCATATTAATACCCAAAATGACATAAGAATGCAAAACAGATGACTTAATATGCCCCCTTCATTTCGGACTTTATTACGCAAAGGACTTACTTAAATTTGTCAATAGTACAGTTTCGGCGCTTGATGTAATAAAAAAAAATTATTGCATTAAACGTAACAGTTGCCCTGCTTCAAATAAAATTTTTCAACACTTTGTTATTATCAAAGTATTTACTTCTACCGAAAACGGTTCCTTGAAAATAACCATTACAGGATATTGACCTTAATTGATACAATCGTAACAGATAATTTATATCATCAAAACCATATGTGGATGTGTTGTTGATATAACCACACGTACTTGTAAATTGCCCAGCCCTGTGCTTCACAAAATACAACGCCTTAACCCCTAGCCAGGAAAAAGAATGCGCAGTCATTTTACCTCGCTGACAAAACCATAAATGGGGCGTTTCGAGATCAATTTGTGATGGATATTCCATGCTCTTAACAAAAAAGTAGTTTCAATCGTCAATAATTTTATATGAATTTCCAAAACACGATGGACGTTAATATATATGTATATTGATTCGATTTATGCAGATATTCTACAGTAAACCAGTTACGATCGATAATCCATTGTTGTTACATATACCACAAGTTCCCGATATATACAACATTTGTTTCATTTATCAAAAGCCTATATATTCTCGGCTATTATTAAGGGCTTTTAAAAACAATAATTCATTACAGTTGCTGACATATATATTAACCTATGTTCATTATCAACATATTTCATACTTTCACCAATGATCATAAAGAACGAAAAATATGTATTGTTATATTTGAATGAGAAAATTACTCATCTGTCATTGGTCAACAGGTCACCCATCGATTAAAAAAAACAATGTTAACATGAAACTGGCGAATTATCTTCGCAAATTGATTGATAATCAATAATAATAATATCAACTGACCCCATTGTTCATGTTCATTGTTTATATCTGAAAGTACAAGATAGATTTATTTATGTGAAAACTGGGTATTTCGATCTGTCGCCAAGGATTACCGTTGGACTTACCTAATGATTTCATTTAAATAAGGGTTTGTGCAAGTTACAAATTAAAAGACAAATGATTTACTTTTTAAAACAAGTAAGTGTGAATAGAAAAGTATATGATATAAGTACTACCCAGTTTATATTGGTAATATATTGAGGTATATGTTTTCCATTTGAAAGCAATAATAATAACATTTGATTATTGCTTGAAACAACAATATTGTTTGATAATTCGATATCATATTATCAAAACCCAACTCCAACTGTTCAAATCTAGTAGCATATGTACCAACCTGCACGAAAAATACTCGTTTTCTCCCCACAGTAAGAATCCACTAGCACATTAACGCAGACAAACAAGGGCTATGAAATAACTCAAGTATATATCTTTGTTTACGTCTCAAAATAATTAAATCTTTCTACTCATTGTGAATCTGAAAAACTTGTAGACACATAATGTGAGGTGGTTTAATGGTCTTTTGCCAAAGGGTGTAGCAAATTATAGCAGATATTGTCATTGATATAATAAATAACCTTACGCCACAGCCATTACGAATACTATTATTGTGATGTTTCAATGAATCAAATATAATTATCCTGACTGACTGATTTCATAATGTTCCAGTCACTTCCAGAGTTACGTCCCTTGTGCAGCTCGTATCTGTCTTTTGTTTTGTGCCTTGCATAATTTAACATAGAAGCAATTGTTATTATCCATACTATAACAAATGTATAAATATGTCGTGGTCGCATGAAAGAAGAGCGAGGAGACGCAAGGCAATGACACCAACGAAAATGACGATGACCATATGATCTACACATGAAAGTTTCACAAGGGCTTGGTCAGGACACTAAACGGGTGCGTCTACTTTTTCATCATCATTTTCACGTATTCTGATAAAAAAGAAAATATGTATCAACCAAACTTTCAATACCAGAAAACTTTATATTCAAAGCCATACACCTCTAGCATAGTTTTACATTTATTGATAGTAACTTATACCAGATTGCTAAAAGTACATTATTTCATTGTCTATAATTATGAAAAATACAAAGTACATATGAGATATATTGCTTTCTCGTATCATGGCGATAAATTGAAAATACGTCTCTAGGTAGTCTCTTCAATTAAGTACTAGTTTAAACAATTCGATATTATATAGATTAGCTTCACGCAATATGTTTGCATAGAATAACAAATGAGAAATCTATCAATAATAAACATTACTTATTTTGTTCCTCAAATCCAGTTACTCACCCTCGTAATTAATTTGTCCATCACCATCGAGGTCAGCCTCTCGGATCATTTCATCCACTTCGTCATCTGTTAGTTTTTCTCCTAGATTTGTCATAATGTGTCGTAATTCAGCTGCACTGATATAGCCATTTCCGTCTTTATCAAATACCCTAAACGATTCTTTTAGCTCCTCTTCACTATCGTTTTCCTCCTTCCCTTTACGGGCCATCATGGAGAGGAATTCGGGAAAATCAAGTGTACCATTTCCTAAAACAAAATAACTTTTTATGATATGTGAACTTTCATGTGTAATTATTAATGTTTATTCAATATATCCTGTTGTAAATATTCCAGTATTCGCACATGCTGTTATTTTTTTTAGGTCGCAGACAAAAACATTATTTATGATAGGATTTTTACGCAAATTTGAAATCCAAGGTTCCTTACATTGCTTATACGCAAAAATTTAGAAAATGTATAACAAGTGAATAACGCCTATTATTGTAAATTTAGAATTAGATACAATATTGTTAAACTATTTATTGAACTGCATCATACAGCTGCTTCGCCCTTCTATGACATATTTTTGAATAAATAATAATGAAGAAGAACATATTGAATCACAGGTTGAAATCATATGTCTTCGGACTTAGAGTGTAAGTATGCCGATACGATGATATTCTTGTCTATAAAACTAACGTGATGCTTGGTATTGTTATTTAACCATTTACTGATTGTTTATTCATGATCTAGTTTTGAAATACATTAGTTGCGTTATCAGCAGAAATAAATTATCATTTTTATAATCACCAGCTGGGTTATCGTATTGAGTTTGTGAAAAAAGAAACCTCATGAGCCCGAACAGTCCTAAGTAAACTATTTTTAATCTCAAAACATGGTTTACCATCCACGTCCACTTCGTTAATCATGTCTTGTAACTCGGCTTCTGTCGGGTTCTGACCTAGTGACCTCATCACTGTCCCCAACTCTTTTGTTGTTATGGTACCGTCGCCATCCTTATCAAACAGGCTGAACGCCTCTTTAAATTCTTGGATAAGGATACATATAGTTAATATTCATTCAAATGCAACAACACTTACTAAAGGAATAATAACAAAAATGCATAGATAGAAAAATCACTGATTAATTTCCTATGAAATCAAGCTGATTGCAAAGTATCACGACATCAGTGATTCGAGGCCTGGACAGGGAAAAAATAATTTTGTCCTTTGGCCAAAAATGGATGCAATTACTAAACACGATGAATCACGACTTTAAGCATAAACATATTAT